CACACACACACACATAAGAGATTTTACTAAAATAATTCTGAAGAAACAATGCTGCCCTGTTTCCAGTCTCTAAATATAAAAAGTCCTTGAATGAATTTGATACATGTAATTGACAAGGTTCATGGATTTAGATTCCACTAGCTTCTTAACATACTGTTTTCAAATGCATAGTTATTTCACCATCCATTTATATCATTGGATAGTCTCCAAAACCCCACAAACTAAGAAAGGAAAGAAGAGTTACTATAATCCTCATTTTCAAGAAAAAGAACCAGAGATTTGGAGAGTGCTTGCCTCAAGCTCATGAGTTAGGAGTGGGACTGGATCAGTAGCTGGAACTCTGTTCCCAAAGTCCTTGCACATGTGCTGTGTATTTGTTACCTTTTAAAAGGTCCTATTATGTGTCAGTGTCACCTATTTACCTAGAAGTTTTAAACACCCGGTCAGGTTGCTTACTTAGTGTGGTTATCCCAACACTGAGGACTATAAATTTGTGCATTGGTCCTGTCAATAATTAGGTTGCAGTCTTGGTGTCCTTTCTGAGCCCCAGTGTCCTCTTCTCTAACATGGGCTTATACATAGTTCCTGCCTCACAGAGTTATTGGGAGGAAAATGTACACAGCAAGTCTCTGTAGTGTTAGCTGTGATTATGGAGTAAAAATCTCAGCTGTCTTTCCTATGATTATTATCTAATGCTGGTTTTCTTTCCTCTTTTTGCCCCCTGTATATGATAAGACTGTTGTCAGCCTTAAACTTGTCTCTGTGTGTAGTCATGTTATTTAGGTTAAATATATTGGACTTCAGCTCTGCATTCTAATTCTGTATTATACTACATAGTATAGAAAATAAGCAGATTATGTTATAAGATATAGCAGATTTCAAGGAGGGTAGGAGAAATTGGCAGGGTTGTTGGCTCTGAACAGAATCTGACAGGTGCTATAAGTAAAAAAAAAAAAGGTGTGTGTGTGTGTGTGTGTGTGTGCGCGCGCGCGCGCACGCACACAAGGACATGAGGGTAGTTCATTAAAACAGAATAAAAAACAAGAGTAAGTAGGTCTTGGTAAAAACAGAAACAGAAGGTTCCTTTTGCCATTGGCCCCACCCCACCCTTAGGATCAGTCTGCTCCAATCACTTCCAGTCTTTGTTTCTTCCCTTCTTCCATTGAGAGGAGAATCTCAGAAGCTGTAGTGGCATCATGTGACTTCTTCTTGCTCAAAAGAGGCTGGGGACCTTAACTGACAGATCCATCACAGTTATCTACTATAGGAAAGGGTTGATTCCCCAAGTGAATCAAAGGAAATGTACAGATCGGATGCTAAGAGAAAGGAGAGAACAAGATTCCTTACTCTTAAAACAAAACAAAACAAAAAAACAACCAAATATAATTTCATTCTTATCTTTCCAGGCTAATCTAGGGATGGAGAACAGATCAATGGTTAATAGAATTCAGAGAATTGAGAAGGTCTTGACCAGAAAGGGGCAAGCATGAGGGAGTTTTCTGGGGGTGATAGAGCTATTTTTATTCCAATTATGATGGAGATCACACAAATATATATGTATTAAAAACCATTGAATTGTACTGTAAACCCAGAGTTAATTTTGCTTCATGAAAAGAATATTAAATAAAATAAAAACACAGAATACAAATCAGTCATCATAAATTTGCTTCAGATTTCTAACTGAAATCTTCTTTACCTCTTAAGCTGCTGATTTTTAAAAAAAGTGTTCAGAAGATTCACATAATAACTATTTTTCTTTTTCTGGCAATAGTATTTAGAACTTCGATTTAACAGATGTGTTCGACTTTGTGGAACAGTCCTCTTCATTGTTCAAACAGTAAGTAGCTCTCCATTAATTTATTTTCTCTCGTCATATAAAATATTTTTTATCCATGGCATTTGAGTTAGCCTTACTTAGGAAACATGAGAATAAAGAGATGTTGAAAATATGAGAAAATGAAAAAGAAAAAAACTTTACTAGTATATAATATTAAACCTAAAAATTATTAAATGGTGTTGCAGCAAATGCTTTACTTTGTGGAAAATGGGAGTGATTTAAGTGAATTTAAATATTGTGTTGATCAAGCAACAGCTATATTGCTTTAGGAAAACATGCTTCCCCTTTCCTGCTCAACCAAGCCGACAGTAAGGGCATTACTAGATGGCAAAGATATTTGAGGGAGCTGTGGTCAGTGACAGTAGGAATTCTAACAGAGGGAAAACAAGTTGTATGTTTCACAGTATTTTTTTTTTCAACATGTTGTGCAATAAATATGAAAAAAACTGATAGTAAGACATTAGGAAACAATTTTATTTGTTTGAAAGCATACTTTAGAAAAGGATCAGTGCTCTTTAAAATATTGTACTATAAGACCCAACTGAAGCAGTCCCTCAGAGTGCAAAGCAGTAGAATCACAAGCTCTGGAGGAGTTTTTAAAGACAGATACACAATCCAGTAATTCAAGACTATGCAAGTATAGATTTACTGGTTGACACAAATGGAAAGCAAGGATTTGCCATGCAGTCAGTGATATGTTTTTACTTCCTACTCTACATCCGGTTGCTGGAGGATTTTCATAGTCATTGTCTCATCATTTACATCCATCTTCCTCTTGGCAGTTAAGCACTTTAAAGCCTGAGTTCGCCCATCCAGGTTGAGGAAGGAGTTTTCATTCTTATTCCTAATAACAATACTCTTTCTCCAATCAAACGTTTCTGAAGCATTTGCTCCAGCAGTTCAGAGTGTCTTTCTAAGTTATTTAACTCCATTCCATTTTATATCTTTGCAAATTATGTCACTTAAAATTTATCCATTCTTAATACTTGCAGAGTAAAGAAGTGCTTTTTAGGATCTAGCAGGGATTCTGATACAGAGCTGAAGGCTGATAGCTTGCATTTGTCAACTGCTGAAATCTATGTATTTATATTAAAAATGTCAACAGAAATAAGAAGTGGGAACCATTATTAGGAAGGCAGCCTGTCTCATTCATATCTTCAGCTTGGACAGAATAATGACTTTGGAAAGCTGGCTCAGTCTTGCAAAAAGAAGAGATTTATCACTTCCCACTTAAAGGACTTATTTCCGTATACCTACCCATGCAGTATGATCAAACATTCAGATGGTACATAATATGTTTTTACTATAAAGTGTTTTTATGGAATACTCTTGGAATTAGCCTGTGTGTGATATATTTAAAAGATCAATGCAATGAAACTGATATTTTGAGAAAGACTGAATTCATCCAACAAGTGTACACACGTCAATAAATATAAGTTGAATGCATGAATGAAAAATAATATAAAAAAGATGGATTGTGGCTTTTGTTGGCTTTCAGAGTTTTTAGTGCAAATTTACACTTGGTCTAATTAATGTACACACAAACTTAAAACTTTAAACTGGATACTTTTTCAAAATGTTACTTTTTAAAACATCAATTAGATGGTGATTAGCAATAGTTTGGAGATTAAGAGTGTTCTCTTCTAAAGTTATAGTTTTTATTCGTTATTAATTGTTTTAAATCTAGGGAAATTTATTTCAAGTTTGAGTTGATGGGTCAGTGAACATTTGCACAAATCACCACATGAAAAATTGTATTTTTATAAAAATCTGCTCATAAATGATTTTTGTGTGACTATACCACCAAAGAACAATTAAACTTACTTAACATTTTTCAAGTTATTTGAATTTTATTAGATATATTGAAACTGCTGTTTTAATTCATAATTGACTTTACAGGAATAATCAATATTTTATTTTGTAGTTAATATGTAATTCATTTGAGTTTCTTTTTTTTCCCCTCTTAGATCCTTTATACTGGAATTGTTATTTATGCTCCTGCCCTGGCTTTGAATCAAGGTACATTTTAGATCACCCAATCACATAAATCCCAGTTTAGGATTCATTTTCAGTAAGCCCTAATTTCTCTTTGGGAAGATGGAGAGATGGAGAAATATTTCCAGTTACCCATATTAGCTTTATGAGAAGAGTAGGGTGGTTTAGTGCCTATACTAGCTTCTTTGGGTTTATGGATGAATATCTCCAGAATGTCTATAATTAGTAACAGGGCAGCCTGGCACTGGGTGGTGTCACTCTGGGATGTGTCCAGCAGCCATTTCTTCAGAACAAACGCCCCCTATAGGTTACATCATGAATGACTGAACTCTCTCTTTTGTGTCTATTATCTGGCGTCCATTTCCAAGAGTGTACTGTTCAGGTCCATGGTAAAATCTGGCAGGGAGGGCAGCTTTTCTACTCATAATATGGAAAAGAAAGCTCTGTGGTTTGAAATATCGGGTTCCTAGTGACAAGAAGACAGACGGTTACAGTATTATCATAAAATACCTATGAAGATCATATTGATCAACAGATTCCCTAGATTCTAGATTTGAGTTGACAAAAACAGAGAGATTGGGAGAGTTTATTAAAGCAAAGGTTCATATTTTCAAAAGGCTTTGGGGAAACCCCATGTCCTTTGAATTCGTATCAGTTGGAAGGGAGTTTATCTCTAAAACTTCCTTGTGAAATGGACAAGTGGACCCTGTGATGGTTAAGAATGTGGTGCAATTCCTGGAGTTAATATAATATAGAGGAAACCTACTAAATCCCTATTTTGTTTTCTTTGTTTTATGATGAATCTGATAGTTATTATCACCTACACTTACAAAGTGCAACAGTATCAATATAAAAGAAGAGTTTCATTATAGAATATGCTCTTGAACTCTGAATGCTAGGCATGTTTAGTGTCAATATTACCTACATCAGGAGTGGATTATTTCCAATGTCAAGAACTGAGCTATAAAGGTCATAAGTTACCTATTGATTTTAAGTGTAATTAAAGATGTTAGAGTTTTAAAGACATAGTCACAGTATTTGGTGTGCAACAGAAGCTAAGTAAAAAATCATTTAACTGAATTGAAATTAAATATTCTCTAGGTGAAACCTTTTTTAATGTTCTTTTGGTGTTATGGAAAGCTTCAAAAAAATAGGGAGAATAGTGCATTGAATCCTAATGTACCCACCACCCTACATTAATAATTATCAACTCATGGTCAATTTTAATTCACTCCCTATTTCCCTCATTAGATTATTTTGCTGTAAATGGAAATCTTATTTCATTTATACTTCAGTATGTCTTTAAAAACAAGGGCTTGTTTTTAAAAGAGAACTGTACCATCATCATATCAAAAAATATTAAAATTAATTTCTTAATTTCATATTAAGTCAGTGTTTAGATTTCCCTGATTTTTTTTCAGTGTTTATTAGAATCAGGATCCAAATAAGCTTGTATAATTGCAATTAATTGATATATCTGTTGAATATATCTTTTTTCTAAAATTGAAAACCAGTTTTTTATTGAGGTATAGTTTATATGTAATAAAATGTATAGGGCACAAGTATACATTTGGGTGAATTTTAACAGTTGTGCACAGTCCCATAACTACCATCCAGCTCAAGATCTAAAATATTTTCATCATTGAATCCCAGAAATTTTGCTCTTGCCTCTTTCTAATAAACCCCACTAAGCAACTACTCTCTGATTTTTATGACCATAAATTAGTTTTCCCTGGTATTAGATTTTATCTAAGTAGAAGTATATAGAACCCTTTTGTATCTGTTTTCTTCAGTTAGCACAATGTTTTGAAATTAATTCATGTTGCTTCATGTATTGATAGTTCATTCCTTTTCATTGCTAGTGGTATTTCATCTACCAAAATCTGTTTATTTACTCCCCCACTGATGGACATCTGATTGTTTCCAGTTTTAAGGATGCCAAGAACATTCTGGCACTGTGTGTGGGGCGTCTGCTTGTGTGAGTGTGTGTGTGTGTGTGTTTTGTTTTGTTTTTAGACATCTATTTTCATTCCTATTGGAAAAGAAATATGTGAAAGTGGTGTAAAGTTAAACATACATCTATTCTGACCCAACTCAGGTTAGGTATATGTATGAAATTTAGGAGAAATTGACAAATAGCTTTCCAAATGTTTGTACCATTTTACATCCCATTCCACACTATGTGAGAATTTCAGTCATTCAACCTACTTGCAAACATTTGGAATTAATTTTTTTTTTCATTTTAGCCATTCTAGTAGGTATTATATGTTATTGTATTGTAGTTTTAATTTGTATTTTTCCTGATGACTACTGTTGTTGAGCTTATTGGCTCATGAATTTAAAATGACAAATAATCTAGTAAAAGATAGACAGAAAACTTGAACTGACACTTGACAGAAGCAGACATTCTTTCAATAGGTTATATGGTGATCCAACAATTTACTTAGGTCTTTTAAAATTTCTTGCAGTAATGTTTTGTAGTTTTTGATATTTAGGTCTTGGGCATAGTTTTCAGATTTATTCCTAGGTAACTGATTCTTATACTACTACAAATAGTATGCTTCATAATATAATTTTCAACTATTTATTGCAATTATATAAAAAGGCAGTTGATTTTTATGGTCTATCATAAGAACTTGCCAAATTTACTTTTAAATTCAAGTTCATCTGTGGAGATCCCTTAGGATTTCTTTTGCTGCTGTTTCTTTCTTTCTTTTTCTTTTTCTTTCTTTGATACCAGGGAATGAAACTCAGGGGTGCTTAACCACTGAGCCACATCCTCAGCCCTTTTTAAAATTTTCTGATTTTTGAGACAGGGTCTCACTAAGTGGCTTAGGGCCTTGCTAAATTGCTGAGGCTGGATCTAAACTTCAAATACTTCTCTCCAGCCTTCCAAGCTGCTGGGATCTCTTAGGATTTTTATGTTGTTCATGTATAGAGACACTTTTACTTATTTTCTAATCTTTCTGCATCGTAGTTCTCTTCCTTTTTTTTACTGCACTGTTAATGTTGGAAGTTACACTGATTAACTTTTGATTGTTAAATCAGTTTTGCCTTCTTGGGATAAACCACACTTGATCATAAGGTATTGTCCCTTTTACATATTACTGAATTCAATTTGCTAATATTTTGTTAAGGATTTTTAGAGTTCATGAGAACTCTGAAGTTTCCTTTTCCCATAATGTCTTTGTCAGATTTTTGTTTGTTTGTTTAGTTGTAGTTGGACACAATACAATTTATCTTTATGTGGTGCTGAGGATCGAACCCAGGGCCTTGCACTTACTAGGCAAGCAGTCTACCGCTGAGCCACAACCCCGGCCCTCTTTGTCAGATTTTTGTATCAGTTATATTAGCTTCATAAATGAGTTGGGAAGTGTTCCCTCTTATATATTTTTTGGGGATGGTACCAGGTATTGAACTCAGAGGAACTCAACCACTGAGCCACACCCCCAACTCTGTTTTGTATTTTTATTTAGAGATGGGGGTCTTGCTGAGTTGCTTAATGCCTCACTTTTGCTGAGATTGGCTTTGAACTTGAGATTCTCCTGCCTCAGCCTCCCAAGCCATTGGGATTACAGGCATGCATCTCCATGACTGGCTCCTTCCTATATTTTTTGAATGAATTTGTATAAAGTTGTGTATTTCTTTCTTAAATGCTTTATAGAGTTTACAGAGAAGGCATCTGGGCCTGATGTATATTGGTTTCTGTGGAAAGATTTTGATTTATGGATTCTATTTCTTTATTAAATATAGTTATTAATGCTTCCTAATTCTTAGGAATAAAGTTTGATAAATTGTGTTTTTTAGAAAATCCATCCATCTTTCTAATTTACCAACTTAGTTGTCACTAAATTGTCTGGAATATCCTCTTTTTATCTTTGCTTATATATTTAGTAATGGCCATTCTAATTATTCCTGTGACTGTTAAGATACATTTTAAATCATTTTTATGGATATATTTTTTCTTTTGCTTATTTCAAGTTTAGCTTTTCTAGCTTCCTAAGGTCGAAATTTATGTCACTGATTTAAAAATTTTCCTATTTTATAATGTGAACAATTTAAAGTTTGCATTCTTTTTAAGCAGTGCTTTGTCTGCATCCCACAGATTTTTAAGGCTTACATTCTTATTGTATCATTCAGTTAAAAGTATTTTCTAATTCCTCTTACAATTTATCAATGAATTATTAAGAAATGTGTTGCTTGATTTTCAAATACTTGGAAATTTTATAATGTATTATTTTGTTATGGATTTCTAAATTAATGCTGTTTTAGTGAGAGAACTATTATGATTTTATTCCTTTGGAATGTATTGAAATTTGCTTTATGGCCCAAGATATGGTTTCTCTTTCTGTCATTCCACGTGCTCCTGAAAAGAATATGTATATTGTGTGATTGTTGGTTAATAATGTTCTTCAAATATTCTGTATCTTGGCAGATTTTTGAAAACTTGTTCTGTCAATCACTTCAAATTTAGAAATATAGCTACTGATTTTTCTATTTCTCCCATTCTGTCAGTTTTTACTAAATAGAGTATGAAGCTCTTTTTCAAGTCTCTCTAATTAATAACCTACTTCATCTTTTTTTATCCCCTTGATATTTATCTTTTGCAGAAACTATGTTATTTGTTCTATCAAGTTTTCCAGGATTTTTATTTTACTGATTGCTCACACATCAGGTTTAATGTTTCTCAAGTCCTTGGCTTTTCTTGTAAATAGTAGTAGTTAGATTTCAGACTGCATTTTAGACTGCAGTGCAACCTTTTGAAAATATTTCCTAGGTAATGTATATAAACTATAGTTTTATTAGTTAATTAAGGCTTATAAAATGGGACATTTTAATTCTATTATTTCTTCTTTATTAATTAAAAGAAACACTTCTCTAAAGATAAACTTTATCTTGGTTTTTATTGGGTTATTCTGAAAAATAGTTTGTACAGGAAAGGCAGAAAAATGTCTTATTACTTGCTTATCAATTTTAAAATTAATAAGCTGCAGGGCTGAGGGTATAGCTCAATGGTAGAACACATACTTAGCATGTACAAGGTCCTAGGTTCAATCCCAACATCCCAAAATAAATAAATACAATAAATTGGTTTCCTACTATCCTCCTAAGGGCTTAGATTTAAAAAATATTATCATTATGAATTTATGACTTAAATATTGGATGTTATTTCATACCATTATGGTTTGGTATTATTATAGATGCTGATACTGTCCCAATTTTTTTAGAAGAGGCCTCTTCAGGTTGTCTCTTGATTTCTCAACCTTGATTGTGCATTGGGCACACTCTTGGGGAGCTTTTAAAAATATTTATCCCTGGGTTTCTATCCCCAGAATTCTGAGTTAATTGGCCTATTGAGTGACCCAGTCATTGGGATTTACAAATTTCCTTCGGTGATTTTATTGTGCAAAGTTGAGAACTATTGAGGATTAATAGAAATTCCAATATTGTAACTAATAATATGATGGAAAAAAATGGTTAAAATTTTGTTCTTTGTAGTTTGTGTCCCAGAAGGGATTTATAAAAATTACTGTGTTTTAAAGTCTTGTGTGTTTATGTCACAAACTTGATATACAACTAGGTTCAGTTTATTTCATTTTGTTCTCACTTTGAAGGAGTTTATTTTTTAATTCCAGTTTTTAATAATTATATAGAATATGTATGCAGTTCTAAAGTTATATCTACACACCAAAATATGTTCAGAGAAGTCAAATTTATTTATATTCCTGTCTCCTCTATCCAGTTTCCTTCCTCTCTCATTGGTAGCTAATTTTTCTGTTTGTTTTAGATTTATCCTTCCATTTAAAAAATGTAACAAAGACTTCACTTCTCAGATAAATAGAATCAAACTATATATACTTTTCTCCATCTAAGTCCCATTTTAATAAGCATGTATCTTTAAAGGATTGGCAAAATCATATGTCTATCTGAACCACATCTACTGGGGAAAGATAGTAAATATCTTGACCCCTTTCAGTCTGAACAGCTACTTCACAGTATCAGTTTCTTAGATTAGATACAACATACATGCTTTTCTACATATTAAATTTAGCAAATGTTGGATCTGGGTATGGTGTCTGAGAGTAGAATTTACAACCATGTCCATTAACTCATCAAATATAATTTGTGTGACATGAGATTTTTTTTTTCTAGTTTTAGGCAAGTGGGTATAGAGGTAGGTTCTCAGTCAGTGAGATCATGTTCCTCCATTGATAATTTTTGAGAAGTGTTGTTATGCATATTTCAGTTATGTATGCATGCTCTTTTCTTCTACAGTCACAGGATTTGATCTGTGGGGTGCGGTAGTGGCAACTGGGGTGGTCTGCACATTCTACTGCACGCTGGTATGTCAAATATATTATTTCCCCTTTTAATCTACTTACTTGATTTGCAAAATTGAAATTTCTAGTAGTTGTGTACTGCAATCTGGTTGTTCATACTTACTCTTTTGTTCCTGAGTACCACAGTCTAACTTTGGTAAGAAACATTGGCTTGGGGTAAAATTTGATTCTTTGTAGAACATGGATTAAACTGAAAATTTTTTCTTTCATATGACCTGTGGCATTGGTTCCTATTATCTCCTGATTTTCCTTACTGCTATTAAATTATAGCTTTTCTCAGCACAGAAAACTACGATAACTTACCATTGTCCATAGGGAAGAGTGACAAAATATGTAAAAAAAAATTTATGGTAGGACACTGGTATTAGCAGAGGTGCTGATCCTTAGCACTGGTACAAATCTTATGGGATCTTGGTATTCTAGGTATCAACCCTTTAGTTGTTGGATATTGTAGAAGATGTGGTCCTCAGGCAGGGGCTTATGAAGCTCAGGTCATAGGAGCTAGAAAGGCTTGTGAAAAAAAGATTTTAGTATTTCAACAACCAACATGGGTGCATACTGATTGGAAATCAGCCCTGCTTATAGGATAAATTCCACAATGTTGACTTATGCAATTCAACTCTGAATTTGCTTCCTAACAATCTGCCCATGCCACTTCACTCCATTCTAAAATACATATCTCCCCACATTCACAGGCCATGTAGTATGCTGGTCAGTCTATGCTTTTGCCCAAGCTATTTTCTGTACTGGGAGAACTTTCTATCTTTGCCTGTGCTTATGCCTGAAAGCTTGGCTTAAATAGCTCCTTAATTTTAAAGATTCTCCCAACCTGATCATCTCTCTTGAGTGCATTTCTTGTTCATGATCCATGTTTGCTTCACTTTTGTACAGCACAGTGTATAAGTACGTAGACACTTAATGATATTTTACAGAAGCATTAATCCCAATACACTTTTCCCTTGAAGGGTGGTCTTAAAGCAGTTATCTGGACAGATGTTTTTCAAGTTGGAATCATGATAGCTGGATTTGCATCTGTGATTATACAGTCTGCAGTGATTCAAGGTGGCATCAATGGGATTTTAAATGATGCCTATAATGGTGGAAGATTAAACTTCTGGAAGTAAGTTGCTATTTACCTCTTGGTTAACAGTTAACAGAATATACCTTTTGTTTTCCCTTTATTGAAATAGTAGGTTTATGTTAGAAAGCAAGCTAACAAACAACTAATGATTTGATGCAGCAAGTTGAAACTGGTGAGTAAATGTGTGAGGATCCCACCAGCTTTATAGGTGGTTAAAGTAGTCATATGGTTCTTAGTTGCCTGGTGTTAGGATAATACTTCCTCCTGAAAAGAAAAAAGAAATTATTTTCTTGCAGACAACCAAAGTCTGGAACAGGTTGAAAAGTGAAATAAGGTGATAAGGGAAAAGATATTGGAGAAATAAGAAAAGAATGTCTCTTGGGAGACAAATACTTAAAGGCAGCGATTCCTTTTTGATCATTCTTCATTTCAAACATTGCCAAGGATTTCTCTTTTGAATTACCTTGGCAATATGTAGTATGTTAATTTGACATATTATTACTATACATTATTATTTTAGGTATGTGCCCCTGTATATTATTTCTGAAAATCAACTAGAAAAGTTTTGGCTGATGCCTCAAGTGACAGTGTAGCACAGGATATAATATGTCTTAAACAGCTATGCTGTTTAAAAAAAAAAGTGGAAGCCAGGTGCAGTGGCACATGCCTATAATTCTAGTTACCTGGCCGACCGAGGCAAGAGGGTTGCAAGTTAAGGATATCTTGGACAACTTTGTGAGACTTTGTTTCAAAAATATTTTTAAAGGGCTGGTTATAGCTCAGTGGCAGAACAGTTGCATAGCATGTGCAAGGCCCTAGGTTTGATCCCCAGAAGCACACATACACACATGAATAAAAATCATGGAATGAAGAAAATGAAGATATTTCAACCCAAATGAAATCAAAACAATGGCTATTTTGACTGATAGATAGCCATTTAGACTACAATGGAGAACTGAGAGTTTCCCCAAAGTAAACCTGGGTTGTGCTCACCAGAAGAGGGGGGAATGGATGCCAGGAGCTAAGCCACACAGCACCAGCCCTCAATATGATATTTTTAAAAATAAAATTAGATGTTTTTGTGACCTTAACTTGGAAGATTGCCAACCATTAAGTAATAATGAAAAGTCCTATTGTAATTCAGAATTCTCAAGTGTTTTCCTTCTTATTCTGAATTGTTTTGAGAACATGGTGGACAAAATGTCGCTCTGAGATGAATGAAGAAAAGGATGAAAATCACAGAATTATTAGTTGGTGATGGACCTTTATTTATTTATATGTGCTGCTGAGTATAGAATTCAGTGCCCCACACATGCTAGGCAAGTACTCTACCACTGAACCAAAATCCCAGCCCCAGGTTAAGCTTTCTTTATAACAACATTTTGGACTTATGTACATGTCATTAAGTAGTTCTAAACTATTAATATTTAGCTTGTGCACACAATAGTTTAAGAAAATATGATTATAAGGACATGTTAGTTTTAGCAAGTGAAAATCTTTAAACTATTTCTTGAGCATGAATATAAACTAAAACTATGACTGTACATGTACTAAAAAAGGAATTATATACACAAAATCTGTTAGTTTTGTGTTCACTTCAGTACTATATTTATTGCTGTGGTGCACTTAGGAATACCTCTCTCTCTGTCTGTCTCTCTCCTGTGATTGCAGTACGGCACACTTCATTTACAATAGTTTACTAAGACCATGGGAGGAAAAACTTATCTAAATGCTCAGAATGATCAGAATATTCATTTCTCTATAATCCTATCTTGAATTTCCAAATCTCTTAAAACAACAATTTTTATTTCATGGAATTTAAGTTAGAAATATTTCTATCTTTTATATTACTTAATAAATTTGTACATCCTTGGTATGTCTAGAGATATATGATTCCAAAAATATTCTAGAAAGATTTTCTTTAGTCCTTTGTCAATAGTTCAGCTTTGTTTTCTGCTTCTTTTCATTTAGCTTTAATCCTAACCCTCTGCAAAGACACACGTTCTGGACAATTATTATAGGAGGGACTTTCACATGGACCAGCATCTACGGTATCAACCAGTCACAAGTACAGAGATACATTTCCTGTAAAAGCAGATTCCAGGCAAAGCTGTAAGCCAAACTGTGGTGTATGAATCATTAATAACTATTAATTGTGGGAACTCATTTCATAAGTCAAATTTAGCTCAAGTTTAAATCTTAAGTGTCATGAAATTCCAGGAGATAAATTATATACTTGATTACAAAAGGACCAAGCAGAACAAAGTGGTACTGTAGGTTTAAAATTAGATATTTGAAAGTATTTATGTCAATTATTAAGTAAAACAAGCTTTATCAAATAAATAATCAGTTCTTATGCATCCATTTCTATAAGGATGTATAGGGAATAAAATATAAATATATGGCCCTTGTCATAAGGGAACCTAATATCAAGTATATAAAAATGAAATAATATTAGAGAGATATAATAGTTCCATGAAATAATATAACAGAAGAAATGTTCCAAAGTATATATATGGTAACTTATATTTTATTTTCAAGCTCAGCCATGACTTTATAACCCTTCTCGAATTGTTGACTGCTTGAATGATCCTAGAAAAATTACTTATTCTCTCTGAGTCTCAGTTTCTAATTTTATGAAACGAATGTAAGAAATACCATACTTCTCATGGAAAGTTTTTAAAAATACTGTGCTTGGCACACGTATGGTGGGGTCTAGTAAGTGTTAATTCCTTTTTCTACTTCAGCTGTTTTAATGTGAAGGCAGAGGGTGGGTGGAGATTCCTGTTGACTTGGCAGAATGGATGATCATAATCTGGGCAGGTGGAGAAGAGTGGGAAGGTGTTACAGGTTGATGGGGGGATTTGGACAAAAGCACAGGGTAGTAAGGCCAGCAGGGCCAGGGTCTCTTAAGCCCATCTTAGCTAGAGCAAAGACTATAAGATGGTAGCTGGCCTCAGATCAGGTTGGTGACCCTCATTCCCCATGTTGGCAAATAAGATTGACTTGCTTACATGCATTTAGGGACCTAAAAATTCCAAATAGATTAAAAGCACAGGGTAGTTGGGGTAGTGGGAAAAAAACCTGGCAATTCTATTTTACTCAAAGGAGTCAATTTTTCAGAGTCAATTGGTTTAGAAATTATCTAAGTCTTTGGAAAACTCCACAATGAAAGGTCTATGTAAATGTGGATTTAATAACTGGATATGGAATTCCTCAAAGGTGAGCTTAGGAATTCTGACATTTTAAGTCTTGAAATAATGTAATTTATATATAGATATGATAGTCTGTTGGACTTCTAATCTGTGTTAAAGCCAAGGTTGCTCCTAAAGTAATTGTATCAATTATTTATGTCAATTATTAAGTATAATTGTCCACTTTCTTGGACAGCCAAGGAAGTTTTTCCTCTTTGGTTTCTTTTAGAATATGAAACAAATTTTATAACTGAATCAAGTTCCTTCAGATAACCCAACAAGTCTCCTAAACAAGAAGACTATCTGATCCCAGGAGACCCGTTTCCACTGATTTCTAATACTGCTGCCTAGGCCTACTGCTGTTGATTGATAAGGGACAATAACGTGGATAATCAAGCTATTTGAATACTATTAAAGTTTAATAAAATAATTTTGTTCTAGCAGCTTTGAACTCAGATATGAGTGAGGGAGGTGTTTGAACATTAGAGTGAGTATATTTTGATGATTTGGAGATAAGATACAGTTACTTGCACTTTTTAGACAAAAAAGAAAAATGGTGAAACTAGTGAATTTAAAGGAAAAAGCTAACAATCTGTTGCTTGGTACCTATTGCAGCGTGGGTTCTCTAGGAAGCAGACTCTGAGATGAAAGTTAACAAGGCAAGAGTTTATTAGGGAGCCACAACTTATATAAGGGAAGGCAGGAAGCAGGATTGGCCAGAGGGAGAGGGTAGACTGTAATGCAGTCTCAGTAGAGACCACAAGGGGAGCTCTGGTCCTGGGGACTTCAGATTGGTCCCAAGTTAAGAGTGAGGGAACTGGGCCTTTAAACCTCTGAATCCTCTAGTTATTGGATACAGGCTCCCTTTAGAGAAGGAGGCATGATTTTGAGGCACATACTTATTTTCAGGCTAAGGTAGTTCATGATATTTTCCATTCCAGACCCATTGGGAAAGATAACATAGCCACCTTGAGGAGAGAAATACTTACTAGTCAACTGATTATTAAGACAAAGCATTCAATGACATTTATACCAATAATAGCTATAACCACCATTTAACAAGTATTTATTATATGCCAAGTATTGTGCTATATGAAATATACTGTTTTGTTTAATCTTGTAGCTCTGTGACAGGGGCAGTATATCTCCAGATGTAAGGGAAGAATCTAAGGATCACAGAGTCTAGGTTACTTGTTCAAGATCCCATATGCAGAGCCAGTGTATGCTCAGGGCTGAGTATAAACTCTCCTGGAGCACGCAGTAAAAGTTATAATGCTGAACTTGACTTGGGAAGAACCTGTTCAGGGAATACAAGGTTTTCTTTCATACTTAAATGGGCGGTCTTGTGAACTACTTTGAAACAAGTTTGGTGAGTAGCTATATAAATGCTAACCATACTTAGTAGTTTATAATTGCATTACTTTTAAAGGGAAAATGAGTAACATTTACTGCTCTGTTGCCTATTAAAATACTTACTTCATGACATGAGGATCCAAACTAGTATAATTAGATACCATTATAAAGCTACCAATGCCCGTGGAATTCCAACCAAGAGGCAACTCTCATTCAATGGAAAACATCAACTGTTATAAATATTTCCAGATATATGTTGAAGCAGAAGATTAGACTAGACTTTTAAAAGTGTAATTTGGTAACCAAAAATTAATGTACATTTGTTGAATATTATCTTGAAGCTCTCTCCTGTTAGAGCCACAGTTTTCTTAATCTTGGGAATAGAAATTACAATTTCAATTTGAGGCTTTGTTTTCCTTTCTTTAGGTCTCTCTACATCAATCTTGTGGGACTCTGGATAATCCTCGTCTGCTCAGTATTTTGTGGGCTTGCCCTGTATTCCAGGTACCATGACTGTGACCCTTGGACAGCCAAGAAAGTGTCTGCAGCAGACCAGGTTTGACGCCATGTCTTCTTCACACATGCATTAGAGACATTATAAAAGTATATCTGTCAGGGGGAGGAAGAGTCCTTGTCTTCATAGGAAAGAGCAAATGTGCACAGTTTTACCATATTTCAAAAGCATTTGGCCAAAATGTATTTTAGCAGATAGAGCAAAAATGAAGAGTGCTGTATCTAACATTAAAATGTTGAAATACCTGGAAAAATTTCAGGCCAGGTGTTAAATAGAAATAACTCAGGGCTAGGAGTAGAAATGTAAACATAGTTGAAAAAAAGTCTATACACAAACTGTGGTCCTGTGGAACATTTGGTGGGTGATGTTAGATTGCTCACTTATAAACAATTTATCTTCTGGTTTTTAAATCAAAGAGAAACAGATCTCGTAAGTAAACATGGGTTGAATACTAACTATTTAATGAGATTCTGTGTCCAGAGTTTTTCATGCTTCATTTAATTCTCACAAGCCTGTAATCCTAATTTTATAAATGATAAAATGAATTTCAGAGAGGCTAATAAATAAGAATAACTAGGAGTGTTTAGCAGATACCATGGGCCAGGTACCATCATGGGTGCTTTATATAAATTTTAATTTTTTTTTTATTTTCACAGCTGTGCTCTGAGTTAGGGACTATGATTATCTCCCTTTCAAAGATGAGGAAACTAAGGTAGAGAGGAGTTAAAGTAACTAGCTCATAAACCTGGAACCAGGATTCAAACCCAGACAGGCTGCCACTGGAGTCCTGTGAACCTCTGTGCCATGCATTGTCTTTCAAAGAGTGTAGCTAGAATTCAAACTCGAGAGTACCTGACTCCAAAAAGCCTGTGTTCTTGCCAAAATTACTAAGACTTGCTTATACATCCAGCATCCAGGGGCCTCATAGGATGAAAACAGACTCAATTTTTTGTGGATGCAAATGCTTTATTTACTTCAATAAAAATAAATCTTTGTGGGATGATTAAATGACAGCTTCTTGAAGCTGCATGTCTCAACCCCATTTTAACTTGATCTGTTTGATAAACATTCCCTCTGAAGTTCTCATATACCCTGAAGATGGAGGCACTTTTTTGTTATATTCTTTCAAATCAAGAACTTTTTGATTTTTGTAAGTATTTATCATCTATGGTTTGTATCATTAAGACAAACAAGGATTTAAAGAATGTTTTCAATATGTATTTCCCTTACCCTGGGGCAAGAAACAAAATAAAACAAATAAACAAAAAAACTCCAGAACATCTTACTTTTGAGACTCCTTGTTATACACTATATTCAAAGCATCTTGCTTCTTGCATCTAGAGAACTCTTGCTGAGACCACCCCTCCCACCACCACCACCACAATAGATGCTTCTAGTACTGTGTTGTTAGTTAAGAATGAATTCAACGAGGACATTCACTGAGGACACAATACTAATTAGACAGAGTCAGTGGATGATCAGATCAGATGTTATCCTCAGAAGTGCAAAGATATGTCTCCACTACACTGATGGTACACAGCCCAGGCAAGCACAGCTAGTGTCTAGATATAATTTTACTATTTTCTTGCCTAGCAACCTTATCTCATTGATTCTACCTATACCTGAGGGAGTCATTCAGAGTATGAAGGAATCATACTGGTTATTTTTTGGGGGAAATTGATCATAAGGTAAAAAATTTTGGACCTCATTATGATACTAACGATAGATATTTTACTTTTGCTAATGATGGAATACTATTTAAAGTTAAACTTTTAAAAGTATCTTGGGAAAATTGGGTCTTGATTTCATTTGGGAAGAAGTTCTATCTTTTTCTTTCTTTCTGTTTTTTTGAGAGTAAAGAATTTATAAGCTTCAGAGAAGGTGAAGAAAGTATTTCTAAAATAACAGAGATCTTTTCAATAGTGGAGAAAGGTCTTCCATCTCCCATCCATACATTGTTGCTAAAAGAAACCATAGAGGCTGTAGAAGCTGATAAGACAGAGCATGACTTCTATTCTTCACTGTGGGACAAGTAATCAATAAAGGCTCAATGCAAATGAAGCATACTTTCTATCAAATTGTCCACTCAGGACTCTTTTGATTAAAAAAGTAATTTTTCAAAAACATGGCCAAGTAATAAATATAGTCTTAAAGTCATATACCTGCCCATCCTTATTTAATATTTATTTTAAACATTTACATTATCAGAAAGCACTTGGTATCAATAACTTTCTGTAAAGAACACATTTCAGAGATTTCCTGATGTCACACTCTACCCATCACTATGTGCAAGTCAAATTTGGTCTTTAGTCTTGAGCAGTGACTGAAGTTCATTAAATAGCCTTGAGGTACCAAACAAAGAGGATGCTACTTTCTTAAACACAGATATGTGTAAAATGTTTCCTTAAGAATGGCTCTTACCAATTAGACAGACAAAAGAAATCAAAGGCATAAAAATAGGAAAAGAAGAACTTATCACTATTGAAGAACTTATCACTATTTGCGGAAGACATGATTCTATACCTAGAAGACCCAAAAGGGTCTACAAAGAAACTACTAGAACTAATAAATGAATTCAGCAAAGTGGCAGGATATAAAATCAACACGCATAAATCAAAGGCATTTCTGTATAACAGCGACAAAACTTCTGAAATGGAAATGAGGAAAAATACCCCATTCACAATATCCTCAAAAAAAAAAAATAAAATACGTGGGAATCAACCTAACAAAAGAGGTGAAAGATTTATACGATGAAAACCACAGAACCCTAAAGAGAGAAATAGAAGAAGATCTTAGAAGATGGAAAAATATACCCTGTTCATGCATAGGCAGAACTAACATCATCAAAATGGTGATATTACCAAAAGTTCTCTATAGGTTTAATGCAATGCCAATCAAAATCCCAACGGCATTTCTTGTAGAAATACATAAAGCAATCATGAAATTCATATGGAAAAATAAAAGACCCAGAATAGCAAAAGCAACTCTAAGCAGGAAATGTGAATCAGGCGGTATAGCGATACCAGATTTCAAACTATACTACAGAGCAATAGTAACAAAAACAGCATGGTACTGGTACCAAAACAGGCGGGTGGAGCAATGGTACAGAATAGAGGACACAGAGACTAATCCACAAAGTTACAACTATCTTATATTTGATAAAGGGGCTAAAAGCATGCAATGGAGGAAGGATAGCATCTTCAACAAATGGTGCTGGGAAAACTGGAAATCCATATGCAACAAAATGAAACTGAATCCCCTTCTCTCGCCATGCACAAAAGTTAACTCAAAATGGATCAAGGAGCTTGATATCAAATCAGAGACTCTGCGTCTGATAGAAGAAAAAGTTGGCTCTGATCTACATATTGTGGGGTTGGGCTCCAAATTCCTTAATAGGACACCCATAGCACAAGAGTTAACAACAAGAATCAACAAATGGGACTTACTTAAACTAAAAAGTTTTTTCTCAGCAAGAGAAACAATAAGAGAGGTAAATAGGGAGCCTACATCCTGGGAACAAATTTTTACTCCTCACACTTCAGATAAAGCCCTAATATCCAGAGTATACAAAGAACTCAAAAAATTAAACAATAAGATAACAAATAATCCAATCAACAAATGGGCCAAGGACCTGAACAGACACTTCTCAAAGGAGGACATACAATCAATCAACAAGTACATGAAAAAATGCTCACCATCTCTAGCAGTCAGAGAAATGCAAATCAAAACCACCCTAAGATACCATCTCACTCCAGTAAGATTGGCAGCCATTATGAAGTCAAACAACAAGTGCTGGCGAGGATGTGGGGAAAAGGGTACACTTGTACATTACTGGTGGGACTGCAAATTGGTACGGCCAATTTGGAAAGCAGTATGGAGATTCCTTGGAAAGCTGGGAATGGAACCACCATTTGACCCAGCTATTCCCCTTCTTGGACTATTCCCTAAAGACCTTAAAAGAGCGTACTATAGGGATACTGCTACAACGATGTTCATAGCAGCTCAATTCACAATAGCTAGACTGTGGAACCAACCTAGATGCCCTTCAATAGATGAATGGATAAAAAAATGTGGCATTTGTACACAATGGAGTATTACTCTGCACTAAAAAATGACAAAATCATGGAATTTGCAGGGAAATGGATGGCACTAGAGCAGATTATGCTAAATGAAGCTAGCCAATCCCTAAAAATCAAATGCCAAATGTCATCTTTGATATAAGGAGGGCACTAAGAACAGAATAGGGAGGAAGAGCATGAGAAGAAGATCACCATTAAACAGGGACGAGAGGTGGGAGGGAAAGAGAGAGAAGGGAAATTGCATGGTAAAGGAAGGAGACCCTCATTATTATACAAAATCATATATAAGAGGAAGTGAGGGGAAAGGGGAAAAAAACAAGAGAGAGAAATGAATTAAAGTAGATGGGGTAGAGAGAGAAGATAGGAGGGGAGGGGAGGGGAGGGGAGGGGGGATAGTAGAGGATAGGAAAGGCAGCAGAATACAACAGACACTAGTATGGCAGTATTGAAAAAGTAGATGTGTAACCGATGTGAATCTGCAATATGTATACGGGGTAAAAATGGGAGTTCATAATCTGCTTGAATCAAATGTATGAAATATGATATGTCAAGAGCTTTGTAATGTTTTGAACAACTAATAATAAATAAATAAATAAATAAATAAATAAAATTCATTTTGATATAGAAAAAAAAAGAATGGCTCTTACTATTTCATAAACTAAGAGCTGCTTTTATTGAGCATTTATTATATTCCATGTTTTGTTCTAAAAGATCTACCTAGATTATGTAACTTACCTTTTACAGTATCTCTATGAGTTGTTATTATATTACCCTTTTTAGAGATGGGGGAACCTAGGTTCGGAGAAATTAAACAATCAAAACCATATCTATCTGACTCCATAGCTTGTGTACTTAACTGTCTTTTGTTTCTTTAAGTGTTAGCAATTAAAGCTATTAAAGTTTTATGTGTTTGAAAATTTTAGTTATGTGAAGTAGCTCCTTCTGTTTATGAAAAAACACAGATACATTAGGTATTCATTGATTTTATTCAATTACAAATAATTTTTAGGCGTAAATTTTGGAATTTTTCAGCTCATGCCTTATCTGGTACTGGATATTCTGCGAGATTATCCGGGAGTTCCTGGACTTTTTGTGGCCTGTGCTTACAGTGGAACACTGAGGTATGAACTATGACCCTGTGAGCATGTTATTTCCTATAGGCATCTTTCTTTTCTTGTCGGTTACTTTGGGTGAAAAAGCTGCATTCTAGACATGACACAGATGACCCCAAACAGGCAAACTTCTCCATGTATCCTCTCTTGTTGGTCTGACTCTCTTATCTCTGTGGAGTAGCACCCTTTGTCATCAGACCCCACTTTCAACCTGGCTTCTGATCTCTAATATACCATAGCATATCCTATAGGGTCACAGAAATGATCACTTGAAGGTTCCTTTCACTGATCATCAAATATGGGTGCCTCTAGTCATGTTTAAAACATGCATGTGGCTGAAGCATAGTCAACTGACAAATTAGAATTAGATTTCTTAATTGAATAATATTCACTGTATATATAGTCTTGTGTTTTATTATTGAACTTACTAATTGCACTTTCTTCTTATGTTTGCTCCAGGGGATTGTTATCATCAACATGTACAGTATATGTTAATAAATTGATAAGATTGATATTTAGGGCATATATTACTAAGGATTGAGAACAGTCTTTTCTATGTACAAAAATATATTTTAATGTCGTTATAAGATAAAACTGAGTAATATATGTAGATTCTTTTTATAGACAGAGGGTTAACTGGAAAATAGAGGAAACATTAACTTATCCTTTCTCTTTTACTATTTAGCCTGTGGTTGTTGTTTGAATCATTCTTGGATGATAACAGCTTCCAGATAGAGGATGCTGTGATCACTGAAGATAACTTGGCAATCTGGTTACATTTTAGAAGTGTCAACTTGCTTCCTTCTTTTTTATTCCCACCAAAAGTATTTTTCAAAATTAAAATATTATGACTTAAAATGTTTTTTTCCCCTTTCAGCACAGTGTCTTCCAGCATTAATGCCTTAGCAGCTGTAACTGTGGAAGATCTGATCAAGCCTCGCTTCCAGTCACTCTCAGAAAGGTCTCTGTCTTGGATTTCCCAAGGAATGAGTAAGTTTTTATATTCACAATTCCATTTTAGCTCGGAGATGACTTTTTTGAGGTACTAGAAATTCTTTTCCTCTGAAAAAATATAGTACCTCTGAGTGTGTGTGTGTGTGTGTGTGTGTGTATTTCCTATGGCTTAATGCAGACATGACCGTATTTGTAACCAAGATTTGGGAGATACTTCAAAGGTTTAATTGTTGGTGGATCATCCAGAACAATTCCCAGGGATCTATTTGGCTGTCCTTGATGATGATTAATAACAAATCAGCTTGCTAACATATGTCAGATTTTCATTCTTTTTTTCCATTCATTTTTAATGGTTTTATGAACTCATTATGTTGGTAATAAACTTTAAGGACATCATAAACAAGAACAGAACAGATAATTTGAATGTTTTTCCAATAATTTTGACCATAATGGTGACTGTTCATAACCTATCAAATGGAGAAGAATCAAGCTAAACATATTGGAAATACTATTTATATCAGGACTGAGAGGCACTGAAAAATCATTGCAATAGAAACTCTTTTCAAATAATTAATGTACTTAGCAAAGGAGTGGGTACTAGTATAAATAAGATAGGATAACAAAACATAAGGAATGTATTAATTTTACATGATAAGAAATTTCCCATTCATTTTTTCCCTATATTTTGAATTTCAGCATGGGAAATTATATGGTAATTTCAGGTAATTTTTGCTGGATGGATTTTTCAAAATAAAAAATTTGAGGGAATAATAGTTTCCTAGTTCTAAAAGCAACAGATGTACCTGGAGAAAATATGGAAAATACCAAAAATCAAAAAAAAAAAAAATCCCATGGTCTGCACAGCCTGACACAACTGGTGGTGGCTGGAGAATTTCCATAAAGAAATTTAGATAAAATAAGTTGGTAGAAGAGGAAATATATTTTTCCTGAAGTGACCTTGCTTTGCAAGTTTAACAAGAAAATCTTGGGGATGCTAATGGAGATTATTAGGGCCTAAGATTTCAATCCCCTGGTGTGGATTGCCCCTTCCCAGGAGAAATGAATGCCGAAGGTAGGCAGAGTCCAATTTCTGATGTTTTATGAGTCTCCTCTCCTGCCTGATTGTCTGGATCAGAGATCTGGCAGGCTGAACACAGAGACCTGAGCCTTCCTTTATAGACAAATGTTTATGGAGGATTAAATTAATAACACAATAGTTCTTAGTTTTAAAATCCCTGTAGTTAATTCTAGGGATTCTTTCCTTATGTAATCTACTGATATAACTAATCCTGAGGCACAATAGAAGGGCTTTATTTGTCCTGTTTGTACCCTGCTGACCTTGTAGGAACATACCTCTTTCCTTGTTTTGCTGGACCCAAGGCGTGTGGCCTGTCTTTCCTTAGTCATATTGTTCACTTTGATTCAGAAATGCAGTAGCCTATTCTATTGACAATTCCAATTCTCTGGGTCGAAATTTTACCCTGCCTCTTAAATCATGCATCTAGGTGTGCTGTATGGGGCTCTGTGTATTGGAATGGCTGCTCTGGCGTCACTCATGGGAACTTTGTTACAGGTAAGAGCTGACCCCCAAAGGTTAAAGTCTTAATCACTAAATTCTTTTTTTTTTTTTTTAATGTTCATATGATCATCCTTCTGGACTTTTCTCCAAATATATATCTACACATGGATGTATCAAGGGATAGAGATGACTAAATTATTTAATTAAAAAAATTGAAATTGAACTTTTTATTTTGAGATAACTGCAGATCCACATATAATTGTAATACATAATTCAGAGAGATTGCGCATATCTTTCACTGGGTTTCCCTCAATGGTCACATCTTGCACAAACATCTTGCAATGAGAACTTCTTGATTGGACCACATCACAGCCAGGATGGTGACATTGGTGCAGTGAAGATACAGAACAATTCCATCACCACAAGGACCCCTCCAACAGAGGTCACCTTCACAGCCACACCTACTTCTCTCCTGTCTCACTTCCTCCGTGACCTTTAGTAATCGCCATTCTGTCCTCCAGTGCTATAATTTTGTTAGGTGGAGAATGTTGTATAAATTAAATCATATTGTCTGTATCCTCTGAGGTCTTCCTGGTTCTTGGTCTTAAAAGTGAATGTTGATAGAAACCTGGAAATTTTCGTACTATATGATGCAACTTTGGATCTTACAACGTCTATCTCAGCTGTCTTTCTCTGATACCACTTCAGTAGCATGAGGGAGAGTACTGCATCATTGCCACTTGGAGGTAGAAGTCCAGGTTCCCCACTTGGCCCAGTTAGCTCTTCAGGGAGGAGCTCGTTGATATGCTGGTGTGTACGCTCCATAAAGCATACGAATGTGGTGGCATTAAGATTAAAGATAGCCATAGGCACTTAAGTGTCTTGCAGGGTGGATACTATGTGTCACTTAACAGTGTAATACAACCTGTCCCTGGGAGTTTCCAGTCCTGGCTCAGGGACTTCCAGCAGACAAGGCTACCTCAGCACAGATGCAACTCTCCTAAACCTTAGGGAAAAAACTTACCCTTGCAAGAGTAGCTTAAACTCCCTTTGTGAAAGAAACACCCAGTAAATGATCCGGACTGAATACAGATAGAAGAAGGGGGAGATGATCTCCCAGACTCTGAGAATGGTCTCTGGATGGACACTCTCCCAATTGGTCTGACCCCTGAGTGTATTTGGCCCATGCCACTGGCTGGCTTTTGCTATCTTTTATTTTTTTCCCTGCTATCTTGTAAGAGCACTGTAAAACCCTTCATCACCTATGTCTTGTCTTTTCATTATTTAAGTCACAAACAAAAGAGATAATGGGGATCAAGATGTGCATTCTTAACATTCTTATTCAATAGAATCCCAATTGAAAAATAGTGTGACATATTTCATTTTATCTACCTAAAAGGGTTTTTTAAAAAAAGGCCCAAACTTCAAATTTAGTATTTATACATGAAAAAGAATTAGACTGTGTAAACAGGAAATGTGTATTATGGTGAATTTCACTACTAGTAATAAAGTCCTCAAAAGAAAAAAAAAAGCACTGTAAGAGAGTACTTAAGACCCATCTTTAAGGCAAATTGAATAGAAGGGGAGAACTCGCCCTTGAAGAAGTGGGTTAACTAGGACTACCCACTGGCAATTAGGATGGAATAACTAGGTGAGCAGGTGAGTACTAACACTCATTTCTATGGGAGAATAGAGAAAGAGTAGCTGGGTACTGTCTCTGATCAAGACATCTGTGAAACCCTGTGGAACGTTCACAGTGAGTGATTTTTATTCTGCTTTCTGGTCTGTTGCTGCCTCCTTTGCATGCCTTTGCTGTGGAAAGTGCCACCAGGCAAAACCTGCCACTGTTGTTACTAAGACAACTCTGGCTCTAGTAAGGGCAGACAGTCTCCAAAGAGGAGGATGGTATTTATGCCAGGAGGATGTCTTGAAGCTGGAGTTATAACACCAGGGTCCACTCTCCAGCCTCCCCAGGCCCATTGCCCATGGAATGAGACCCATCCAGCCATGTGAAATAAGGACAGAGCAATGTCTTTTGGCAGTAAAATGTTGAAGGGTGCTCCAAGATTGGCTCATCTCCAACAGACCTCATGAATTCTTCCTGATGATACTTAAGCAGACAGGGCCCATCCACCCACCGACCCAGACAGCTGAGCACCATTTTTTCCATCTACTAGAAGGATGACTTCACTGACAACATTGCTGCCTTATACCTGGGAGGGTGGCACAGACCAACCCATCAACCCTGACTACATTGGCACCTGGTAAGGCCTTTACTGGTGTATTTGCCCAGTAGTCTCTTGAGCCTCCTCCACCACTGTTTGCATAGCCTCCAACTCCTAAATAAACGGCTGTTGAGACTGGCAGCCATTTGAGATGGACAAGGCTCAAACTTTGGCTTGGTTTGACCATACCCAAGGTCAAGCATCTTTGATATCACCCATAGCACACACAGTATCTCCAGAGCTTATTGCTTGGTTTCAAGTCCTCTTAATCCTCCTGACTCACTCCCACATGCCATTGCTTTGTAATGAAGCAGTTCCAAGCCTGTTACTACTAGGTCTGTTCAACTCCTTCTACATCCTCATGTGGCCATTTTTCCAAGCCCCAGTGTGCCCACTGCCTTTTCCAGTTCCATGCAGTCTGATGTTTCACATCTAATTGTGCCTTCCCAGACTATTCATTGATCTCTTGGAATTGAAGTTATCGTCATCTTCCTCCATGGGTCATTTTGGTCACCTACCAGGGGCCAACCTTTCAGCTTGCTGGATATGACTTCACTGACCTTCTGCCACTCATGCACACCCTGAAACTACTTTTGAACCACAAACTTCCCTCACCATTGGCGAGTCTGCCCTAAGTCTACAGCTGAACCCCCCCCCCCCCTCCTTATCTTAATGTTCAGTTAGACACTGAACCTATTCTATGCCCTCTGCTGATAATGCAGTTTGGTTCCTACCAGATTATTCTGAGGATGCCACTGACTCCTCCTCAATGTGCTAACAGCAGATATGTTTGAGACTTGAATGGCCATGGAGTATACTTTCAAGTTTAGGTACTTTCTAAGTTATTGACCTCTTCAGGGTCAGGAGGTGGAATGTAGTACACTATGAGATTTATTGTGGCTTAATAACAACCATAAGCCCACTCAAGTGTCTTGCAGGATTAATACTGTGTGTCAGTTAGCACTATGATGCAACCTGGCCTGGGGATTTCCAAGAAACAAAATCCCCTCAGCAAATACAACTTTTATAAACCTTAGAACAAAGGTTACCGTTGCAAGAATAGCTTCAACTTCCTCTGTGAAAGAAATACCTAGTAACTATACTGAATGCATTTTGTATAAGAAAGAGAGAAGAATCCCCCAGATTCTGAAAATGGTCTCAGGATAGAGAACCTCTAGGTCAATTAATCATCTGACCCTCTAAATATTTCTGTCCCATAATACCAACCTGCTCCCAATACCTAACTTGCAAGAATGCAGCTGGAATGAACGGCTTGAGGTGGTTTCTAAGACTCATCTTTTTTTTTTCTTTTTTTGGTGGGAGGAGGGGTACCAGGGATTGAGCTCAGGGGCACTTGACCACTGAGCAATACCACCAGCCCTATTTTGTATTTTATTTAGAGACAGGGTCTCACTGAGTTAGCATCTCGCATTGCTGAGGCTAGCTTTGAACTTGCAATCCTCCTGTCTCAGCCTCCCGAACCTCATCTTTAATGTATAATGCAGTCAACCTCGGGGAAGCTGGTGAACTAGGACCTTCCAACACCCCAAAACATGATAGGAACTTGTGTCCACTGAAACCATGAGGGAGGTGGCTTTGTTCCTGCTGACCCTGGTGAGAGTCCTGATTCTCCACTAGGCTTTCTGTGACATTATTTAACATAGGAGCACCCTGTTATAGGCAACCTACTTGGATTTTACTGGTATGGTTGTGGTTGGGGTGACAGTTTATTCTGTGGTGTTTGGATGGATAGCAGCCCTGTTGTCTAATTTTTCTTTTTCTAGGTGATTCCTTTTCTTGTCTTGTGTTTACAGAGGGCAGGATTTTATTTTGTTGGAGTTTTTTTTTTCCTGTACCTAGAGCTCTTTCTGGGTTGGCTGATTTCCTTAGCCCTAAGACTGGGTATATAAAGCAAAAAGAAAACCCAGAGAACTCACCAGGTTGCTTGTCAGGCCCTGAGGTAGCCTGTCTGCCTTTCCTCACCCTTCAGATTCCTTTCATGTTCTTCTTCTTATGTTCAGTTTATGTGTAATGTCCAGGATTTTTAGCTTTATTAGCAAGTGGAATAGAAAAGAATATGTCCACTCTATCTTCTTGGAAGTGAAAAAAACTATATTCGTTTTTGTTGTTGTTTTGTTTTAACCTAAGGGTCCCTCCCCTCCTGCAGCATTATTTTTTTGCAGGGAGAGAGTACTGGGGATTGAACTCAGGGACACTCAACCACTGAGTCACATCCCCAGTCCTATTTTGTATTTTATTTAGAGACAGAGCTCACTGAGTTGCTTAGCACCTTGCTTTTGATGAGGCTGGCTTTGAACTCAAAATCCTTCTGCCTCAGCTTCTGGAGCTACTGGGATTATAGGCATGCACCACTGTGTCCAAGCTTGTTAGCTTTATTTTTATGGAGAATTATTTTAGGTTGGAAAGTTCCCTCCTGCTTCTGGAAGTTGTTGGGATGGAGAAGATAGCTGATCTTTGGAATGGTTTCTTGTGAACTTGGTGTGTACTTTGCCATCTTTAGCACATAAGCCCCAGCACTGGTCCCCTGCTCTGCCTAGAGCAACCTTCTTTTCTATCTCAACTGCTTAAGTTCTGTTTATCCTTTAACTTAAACGTTTTTTATTCAAACATACCTTCTCTGTTACCCAGCTAAGTTTTGAGTTTGCTTATGCTAAATGTGACCAGAGTGCTAGCAATTCCTTTATCATCTCCATTATCATGATTTATTGCAGGTATGTGTTTGACGTTTGTTTTACTAAGTGGTCTGTAATTTCATGAGAGGGAGGATTATATCATTGTAATTCACCATTGTATGGGACATCTGGTGCCTACTGCAGTGCCCAGGAAAAAGTAGACAGTTAGCAAATTCAGCTTGAATGTACCTATTTAGCTATTGGCACATAAATACCCACTTCTCTGATCACCTTGGGTACTTTTTGACTCTATGGGCTCCTCCTCTGGGACTTTTGCACCTCTTAATGATCTAGAAACAAAGGTTAATGATGAGCAAAGTTGGAGCCCTCCAGAATCTTGCTTCAATCCTCAGGCTTGGGTCTGTTCTGATTGGTTGCTGCTTTGAGCATACAAGTTGTCAAAATAGTTTGATCTTGTCCCTTATTATATGAGAAAATGAATTGGTACAGAAGTTCCAGGCCTATCAGCACACCTAACCATAATGAAATAAACTGATTCTGAGTGTGCTTTTCTCCAGCATTACTGCTGTTAGCTCTTATTGCGTTGCCCACTTTTTCCAGTACTTTTGGCTCTGTCCTGATTGTATGCAATGAGATGTTGTGGCAGAACCATTATAACCCCAAGCCAGTTCTTCCTGAATTCATTGCAAACCACCATCTTATTCCTCTATCAGATTCTTATTTAAATATCTGCCTTTATCCTGTCATAACTGGCTTCGTGGGTTGTGTGCAAAAGATGCAAAGATCTTTTGCATCTTCAGCGGAGGCTGTCTCACAGTCTAATGGATTCTGCTGTGAACCCACTCCTGATTGCTTCCTTGAGTCCATATCCCCTCAAACACCACTTCTCTCTCATCAGTTCCCACCCTTCTTTCTCTATCTCACGAGACAGTCTTTAAAATTTGCTTTAATCAAATACTACAGTCCATAACTTTTTAGCATTTCCTTGACTTGGTATTTTCTCTCTTTGATTTAGTCTTTTTTTTTTAATTCTCCTTTCCTGTAGACAAACCAAAATGTCCTCAGTTCTTCTTTTTATGCTCTTGTCTATTCTTTATTTCTAATTAATATGTAAAGTTGTACATACTTATGGGGTTTCAATACATGTACACATTATGTAATGTTCAAATGAGGGTAAATATATTTATCCTTTCAAGTATTTACCATTTCTTCTAAGCTTTTTGGAAATATACAGTCCATTGTCATATCATTATCGATAGTCATTCTTTTTCTGTGCCACAGGATGCCAGAACTTATTTTTCCTATAAAACTCTAATTTGGTGCTTACTGACCAACCTTTCCTTATCCTCCCCTCCCCCCTACTCAGAAACACTATTGGGGACATGCATGTCTTGGAAGCTTCAGTTATTTGCATGTCTTCATGCTTCACATTGTCAATCTTTTTCACTCTCGTGGTTTTAGCATCTCTACATCAAAGGAAATGTTAGTTATCCAAGTAGATTTTAAATATATTTCTGCCTCATTTGGTTCATCTTTGTTTTAATCATATTTTTCATTCTAGTCCCATCCCTAGGGAACCGGATGAGGAATGGCACATGAGTTTCCTCCCCATCACTGCTCAACAGCAGTGCTTATCCACAGTCTTGCTTTGAGGAGTATTTTGAGACTATCAGAGCAAAGCGAGCACTGCCCGCCATCAGAACATCGTGTTCTGATGAAGCCAGTTACGACAGGATGATCTGTGACGTGGGCATCCATTCGAGGGCTCCCACTGTCTCGTGACTCTGTCTTCTTGCTTTTTGATGCCTTTTTGGAGGATGCCTGAAGGAAAAGGTGGACAACTGAATTGAGAAGCAGAAGTTTCCAAGTCCCAGTGACCTTTTGCCAATGACAAGGCTGCCGTGAATCCGATTCTGATTTTCAGGAGGGGTTGAATACTTCAGATCCTCATTGTGATGAAATTACTTTGAAACATTTTTGTTTGGATTTGAAGCTGCTAATTGCTAACTTTATATTATTTTTGTAGGCAGCGCTCAGCATATTTGGCATGGTTGGTGGACCACTGTTGGGCTTGTTTTCTTTGGGCATTTTGGTTCCCTTTGCCAACTCAATTGTAAGTATAAAAAATGAATATGTGAAAAGTTTACTTTTCCAACGAAAGAGGCAGTTTTACATCCCATTCTAACCGACCCCCATTATAAATATATGGTTGCTTTGAGATCTGTCATTTGTTACTTGTCTTGGTGACTGAAATTGCTCACTTGACTTTGATGCTTTGATGGAGGGTAGTGAAAGGCTATGCATTGGGACCTTGTGTGTATAAAGCTGAATGGAAACTTCAAGAATCATACAGTGAAAATTTAAGTATCCATGATGTAGCTAAAGGAGAAACAGTTTTCATGCATTTATATTCTTGCCCTTCTTAAGAATTAATGGCTAGGATTTAAGGAAGGAAATCAGTAGGCTTAGACATGAGAGTTTTAAGAACAATAAAACCGAGGATATCTGTGAGTAGTCATAATACAGGAAAGAGAAGTAATAAGATTTTCACCACTTTTACCATGAAGATTATACACCTGATATTTATAACTCTACCATCAAAACATGGTGTCTAGCTCATAAGCAGTGATTATAATTAAGAATATTTATCCAGAAAGAGGTAATATCTCTGTTATCCTACATAGTCATATCTGGGCTTAGAAAATCTAAATTTTATTTGGAATAAATAAAATACACATTATTTCTCTTAAAGCTACTTCTCTGAAAGGAGAAAGTTCACTGGTTCAGTTCTGCTATATGATGAAGTTCAAGAAAAAATAAGAATGTATGTGTAGTTATTGCAGATATTTATAGAGTGATTATTGGACTATGACTCAACATACAGAATTATATTTTCCTTATAAGGCATGGGCAATTGGCAGATATTAATAGGGGCTGTTATTAATTTTAATAAAATTCTCAATGAAGTGTCATGAAAAAGCTAGTTTGGTAGAAATTCACACAATTAAAGAGTATTTTGTCTCAGAAAGTTGAAGCTTTATAAGAGTCTTTGCATTATGAAATGAATAATGGTTTGTTGAGTGTCTGAGAAAAAAAAAAAAAAGAAAGATCAGCTTTTGGTTCTTGACATTTGTTGCTACCACAAATGTCCTCCAAAAGAGCTGTAGATGATTAGGTCCTATTTGCCTTTTTGAGGAGGAGGTGGGGAGAATAACATACTATTTTTCTTCTTACCATAGGTTATCCGCCTTCCTTTTTTGGAGAGGCTTTATTCCCACCCCCTCTCTCTGTCTTCCAGCACCCTCCCTCATTCAGTGAATATTAATGGGCTGAACACTATCTTGGGAGTAGAGCTCTGGATATTTCTCCCTCATGAGTTTTATAATTTTGTGGATCCTTGATCAAGGGTGTTAGCTATTTATTGCTGTGAACAAAGTGTCTGACAAAAATAACTTAGAGGATGAAAAGTCTATTTTGGCTTACAGTTTCAGGGGTTCAGTCCATGGATGGCTGATTCCATTCCTCTGGGCCAAAGGTGAGGCAAAGCTCCATGGCAGAAATGTGTGGCAGAAGAGCCACTCTGTTCATGGCAGCCAGGAAGCAGAACAGGAAGGGACTGTAGGGCATTTAAACACCCCCAGTGACCTACTTTCTCTAGGTAAGGCCTACCTGCCTAATCACTCATCTAATTCATTCAAACTGGGGTGAACTGATTAGGTTATATTTCTCATAATCTAATTATCTCACCTCTGAATATTTCTGCAGTAACACAGGTGCTTTTAGGGGACACCTTATATCCAAAATATTACATCAAGCCATGTATCCCACTAAAAGTAAGCTAAGTCTGGCCTGTCCACAGATGGCCACCAACTATGCTAACCTCATCTTATTAAAGAAAGATCTGGGCTGGGGATGTGGCTCAAGCGGTAGCGCGCTCGCCTGGCATGCGTGCGGCCCGGGTTCGATCCTCAGCACCACATACAAACAAAGACGTTGTGTCTGCCGATAACTAAAATATATATATATAAATTCTCTCTCTCTCTCTCTAAAAAAAAAAAAGAAAGAAAGACCTTATGAAAATCCTTGTCCACAACATGGAATCTCCTGATCTGATCAACAACCCTCCCACTCTCCTACCAATACACTGTTCTGTTTCCTACACTGTGATTTCACTTTTATTTTCCCCCTAACTTCAGGTTCTCCTGCCTTTCCTCTCCATGTATCGCCTAATGCTCAGGCCACCCTCATTGATCATGATTTCTAAATTTCACTACAGAGGGAGGGCCTTTCCAGCTCAGGGTTTACTTTTTCCCTGTCATTTGGAACCAGGGCTGAAATCATTCAAGAGCTAACAGAACCACTGGATTTCTGGTGAAAAGGGGGTACCTGAGTCTTATAACTTCAGAGGGCACAGCTGACCAAATTCTCCCCTCTCTGTCTCCATTTACCTTTATAAAGTCTTGGTTTTGTTGAAGGCACTATCACAGTCATTTGTAAAAACTGTTTGCTAGCTTCTCCCTAGTTGTCCTACAGCTCAGTTACAATCATGCATGTTGTTAAATGTAAGGATAAACCTGATATGCTTTTTTGCACATGTGGAGTGCCATTTGCTCAGATTAAATGAAATGCTGGTGACAATTACCTTGCAGCCAATTATGTGACTATTTTCATTTTTTGGATATGAGAAAAAGAGAAGGCCAGAGAAGAGTACTGGCCATGGGAATAATGGAAAAAATGAAAGTATGTGACATTTGAAAAGAAAAATGGGTAGGAATTCATGATTGGTTAAAAGTGATATGGAAAAGGGAAGGGGTTACAGAGTCTACAAAGGTCTGGACTGAGGGACCAGGGGCCAATGGTACCCATGACAAAAGGCAGCAATCCTGCAAGGAAGTCGAGTTTTAGAAAGGGAGCTGGTGAATTGGGCTTTGGATCATGTTGAACTTAACTTCTTAATGTTAATTCCCATTTCAAAGCACTCTGTATTTTTCTTTCAAAAGCATTTTCTTTCTCTAGGGAGCACTTTTGGGCCTCTTGGCTGGATTTGCCATTTCCTTATGGGTTGGAGTTGGAGCTCAACTTTATCCTCCACTTCCTGAGAGAACTCTGCCATTACCTCTGGAAATCTATGGCTGCAACAGCACGTACAATAGGACAGATTTGATGACAGCCACTGCAATGCCATTTTCTACAAGTGCTTTTCAAGTACACAACATTGAAAGGTACTGAGTTTTAAAATCTGTCTTTAAAATTTAAATGACAAATAGAGAACTCCAGTTGCTTTTTGTCTAGCCTGTAACACTGTGTTTTTTCTGATTCTGAAATGGGTATAGCCCATGTCGCTTTCTGGCTGTAACATCTTATTCAGCAATCGCAAAAGAAAAATCGGTATTTTCTTAATTTGTACAACAATTTCTGTCTTACCGAAAGATCTAAAGGAGACTTGAATATTTTTCTAATAACTTTATTTTTTTATTTTTTTAATTTGGTGCTGAAGGTCAAACCCAGTGCCTCATACATATGAGGCAAGCACTCTACCACTGAGCCACCACCTCAGCCCCAGACTTGAATATTAATTTAAAAATTCTGTTATGGATAAACTCTACCAAACACCAGCTCTATCTGCTTAAAGAATTATCTCTCTTTGAAAAACTTTACAATGAAAAACTCAATTATAAAAAAATATTGTTTATACATCTTTGAAATAGATCCTTTACTGCTGTGGTTTAGATAGTTGCCCCCCAAAAGCTCATGCACAATAAAATTTAGAGGTGAAATGATTGGGTTATGAGAGTTTTAACCAATCAGAACATTAATCCTCTGATAGGGATTTAACTGGGTGGTAACTGTAGGCAGGTAGGATGTGGCTGGAGAAGGTGGGTCATTGGAGTGTGCCTTTGGGGTATATATTTTGTCCCTGGTGAGGGCAGAAGTCTTTCTCTGCTTCCTTATAAGATGTCCTGAGCCGCTTTCCTCTGCCACACCCTTCCACCAGGATGTTCTGTCTCACCTCAGACTCAGAGTAATGAAATTGGCCATCTATGGACTGAGACCTCAGAAACCATGAAACCAAATAAACTTTTCCTCTTCTAATTGTTTTTATCAGGTCTTTTGGTCATAGTGGCAAAAAAAGCTGCCTAAAATATCTATTTACTAAAGAAAGATTGTGAATCTTTAACACACTACCAATGAGTTACAGATGTGACCTTCTTGCTGGAGTTTTTAGTTGTGTGTGTGTGTGTGTGTGTATTTTTTTTTTTTTTTGGTACCGGAAATTAAACTAAGAGGCACTAGTGAGCCACATCCTGAGCCCTATTTTGTATTTTACTTGGATACAAGGTCTCACTGAGTTGCTTAGCCCCTTGCGGTTGCTGAGGCTGGCTTTGAACTTGCAATCCTCCTGCCTCAGCCTCCTAAGCCGCTGGGTATGTAGTATATTTTTGAGCCTATGAACACTTAATGAAATAATACACACTGTGTCTTATTTGAATAGACAATAATGTGAGGGCTAGAATTTGTAAAACTACAGGCTTAAAGTGCACAAATCTTGTGGATATGTTTGAGGAATGCAAAAATAAGGCCACTGTCCCCAAAGTGTTGCCACAGTGCCAGCTTGCATAAAATAACAATACTAGAGAATCATTGCTTAAGTGTCTAGATAAGGTGTCTTCTTCTTAAAATGGACCCACTCCTGGAAGAAAGAACTTTGTTGTACAGCCATTATTAGCAAAGCCGCTCTTGTCATGGAGGGAATTCAGCTATGAGAATGCTTGCTAATGGGACTACCAGGGGAGTCCAAGGCAGGGAAGCTCTTCATGTATAGAGAGAAAAGGTATTTCCAGAGTCTGGGGCACATTTGGCTGTCAAAATGAGGTGCTATGTGGACAGAGGCAAAAAACTTGGGAGGGAGTCTGGACAAGGATGAAAGCACTAATGGGAGGGGCTGGAAAAGTCACTAGAGTCAGAAAGGGAGGTGAGACTACGGGAAGCTAAAGAGGACATCCTGAATTTCTCTTAGCATTTTCCCCAATTCTGTAAGTATCTCCTTTAGTTTAAAAGTCTAAGGCAGAATGGTCATTAGGATTACTGAAACCAATAAACCAGCCAAGGCTTAATATGTGACTGGTACCATAATAATCACTTTTATATAGAGGAGGAAAAGTTTATTGGGGGCTCATGGTTTCAAAGGTCTCAATCCACAGATGGTCGACTCTATTGCCCTGGGCCAGAGATGAGGCAGAACATCAGGGGGTAAGGGCCCAGTGAAAGAAAACTACTCAGCTCATGGTGAGGGAAGGAAGCAGAGAAAAAGAGGAGAAAAGGGGTTACAGGGAAGATTGCCCTTCTAGGGCACTCCCCCAGCAACCTGCCTCCTCCAGCCATGCCTACCTGCTTACGGTTACCACCCAGTCAGTCCATTCAAATAGAATGGACTGATTAGGTTACAGCTCTCATAACTGAATCATTTCACCTCTGAACATTCCTGCATTAGCACAGTTCGGTGGGGGGGAACCTCATATCCAACCATAACCCCACTAGGTTTTACTACTAGTATTACATAAAATCATTGTGCATGCTAGGCAAGTGCTCTGCAACTGCCCTACATGAAATCCTCAGATATGCTTTTGCTATCTTTTAGGACTCCACTAATGGATAATTGGTATTCTTTATCATATCTGTACTTCAGCACTCTTGGAACTTTGACAACGATAATTGTGGGGATGCTTATCAGTTTATCAACAGGTAATTATCTTAACATTAGTATTCTTGTATTTGCCTGTGTATCAGTTTTTCCTGTATCTGTTTTATAACTGTTAATGTTATTGTGATCTTGCTAACAACTAGTTTAATTATTTCTTCCATTTTACTCATGGGAAATTTGAGAGCCCAGACTTGAAATCAAAAGACTATTTGTGTTTGAATTTTGGATCTTTCACTTAGTAGCTGCATGAACCTAGGCAAGTCACATAACTACCTTGAAACTTAGTTTTCTTATGTGCAAAATGAGGATAATAGTTAACCAGGCTACTTCACAGATTGCTATGAGAGAAAACTAAAGTGTTTGAAGAAAACTATATAGTAGCTACTACAAATATAAGGATTCTGTACATTATTTTTATAGCAACCCTATGCCAGAATCTTTTCATTGTCCCATACCAGTTCTTTGTAAGCTAAAAAAAGGTATAAACATGAAGGAATAATAATTATAATCTTTATTCCTAAGCATAGTATAAAAGCTTCCAAAAAATGTTCATAGACTTTAAAAACTACATATGTTTTTTTAAAAAAATCCAACTGATAATACACAGAGTATAAAATTGCTATGGAGCTTTTATCCTGGAAATTTATTTTGTCTTCATTGTGTGAATTCTCTTGGCTTCCCTCCTATGTTGGGTTTGCTGGTGCTTATATCCCACTAGTTCTAATTCTTATTTACTTCCTTAATTGAATAAGCATAATAGAAGAGGTTTTGGAAACTTTGCATGTCTGAAAAAAACCCACTAAATTGAAAATAATGCACCTGTGTTCTGAGAGGACGTCTTAATTTTCTTGTAGGTTACCGGTCTTCTGTGGCTTGCCAGTGCCACACTACTTCTGACCCTTTGCCTGTGACCCATTTTCATAACTATTGACTTGCCCTCAGCCCTCAGCAAGGCCCTTTTAATCTGAAGACCCATGTCCTCCAGTTTGGGGCATTTTCTCGTCTTATTTCTTTTGTAATTTCTTATCATTTTCTGTTTTCTCTTTCTGGAAACTCCTGTTAGTCAAATGTTTGAGATGGACAATTCCTCTTATTTTCTTGTCTTTTCTCTCGAATTTTCTATCCCTGTGTCTTTTAGGTCTACTGTGTGGATTTTTTTTTTCAATTAATTTTCCAGTAATTCTCAAAGGTACACTTGTTCCAGTTTTGAGAATAGTCTGTGGGGAATGAGGCAGGCAGGAGGCTATTGCAGTAATCCAGGTGAGACATCACAGTGACTCTGGCTGGGGTAGTAGTTGGAAAGGGATGGACTCCTTAATTCCCCGCATCCCCTTCCACATATACATCCTTAGCACCCAAATTAGGGGAAGCCTGCATTGCCTTCTTTATCAAGGTGTTATAAATACTCTGAAATATTATACTTTGTCCAGATCTGTCTGATGTCTTTGCTTGCTTTATGCTACAAAGCTGCCAATGCTGTGCCACTTTTTAAAACATACTATCGACTGTTATTTTTTGACACCTGGATAGCACTGTCTTTCAAACTTCTGTGACATTGTATTAATTATAAAGTTTGTTACTACCTGTTACTCCTCGATTATTTTAAAGTATTCTCTTTCTTTTCCCAAAGTATTGTGCTTTTTCTAAGTAAAAACCACTAGCACAGTAGGTTTATTCCTTACCTCCTTTGATATTTATTAAGACATATTTTAAACTTTTCTTACTAATTACCTTTATTCAGACCTGGAATAAACATATCTCTCTTCTTATACTACTTGACCTTGAACTTTAGTCTACCCTCACTTTTAAAAAAGGAAATGGAATATTAGAGTACTCCCTTTGAATATTCCCTCCCCACCTTAAATACATTGATTCTGTACACAGAATCCCTCCCCACCTTAAATACACTGATAACTGTACACAGGTATGTATTTTATTTTAAAAGCTAATACTTTATCCAGGTGAGCAGACATCCAATAATAAAAAAATACCTTCATTAATTTCATAAATGACTTATTCCTACTCAACACCAGCAGTGAGCACCTTGGAAAAACCTGGGAACATATAATTCTAGAATTCCTTAGGAAATATATTTTAAAACATACTGTTCATCAGTTAAATGTGGACAAATATTTTTGTAAATAGCCCACGAACCCTGAAGGCAGTGATTGTCTTACTCATCTCTGTCTCTGCAGCAGCTAGTAGAATCTTATCACATAGTAGGTACTCAGTAATGTTGAATGGATGAATTTAAAGCTCATCTTATCTCCAAAAATACATATTCTCATAATTTAAAGTCTAGTACTTATACAAAAGTGGTGGTTCACACACTTTAAAGGGCATAAAAATTATCTTGGAAACTTGGCAGAAATCAGGATTCAGTGGCCCTGGCAACAGGGGTTCTAATTTGGTCAGTCCAGACTGGAGTCTGGAAATCTGCATACTAAGCACATCTCCTAGATGATTTGGATAGAGATTATTTGAGAACCATAGACAGTTTTTAAATGCATCCTCTTGAGCCATAAATAAAATACCAAATAAAGAATTATTTTTCATGAAGCAAAACCTTAGGGGAGAAGATTTAAATCAAACATCAGTAATTATATCAATTTTCAGTTAATTATTCAACAGTTCATAATTTCCTGATTTCTTTTTTTAAAAAAAATTATTTTTGTAGTTGTCAGTGGACTTTTATTTATTGATACTTGGTGCTGAGAATCGAATGCAGTGCCTCACACATGCTAGGCAAGCGCTCTGCCACTGAGCCACAACCCCAGCCTGTTCCTGCATTTCTTCTCACACATCAGTATTTGTAGCCATAAAATTGGGGAAAGGCAGCTCTGCTAGCTCAAGCAGAGACAGATGGTTTGATATTTTATTGGTGGATCATGAAGGATACTTGTAAGCCAGTTTTCCTGTCAGAATAGGAGCAGATGACTTTCTTGTTGAGCACTAGCTGAAGCAGTTGCCTTAATTTTAAGAGCTAGTTATAATTTTTTTCTCTCTCCCTCTTTCCCTCCCTCTCTCTTACCCTCTTACCTTACAAGGCTCGTATTTATCATAGTGAGAGACTGAAGGGGAATGGTGGGCTGAATCTTCAGCATGGTTTGAAAGTTTCTTTTTCTCTTCATGTTTTTTATGAGTCCACAGAGTTGAATGTATATAAATTAAATGCCTGTATGATGGGATGTCAACATGTAGTTATAGGTATCATTTTAGCAATGTAATCATATTTTTTGTTTTCCCTCCAGGGGGAAGAAAACAGAACTTAGACCCCAGATTCTTACTAACCAAACAGGACTTTTTATCCAATTTTGATATTTTTAAAAAAGTAAGTTGACTTTCATTTACCTTAAATTAGAAAACTGGGCTTTATCCCCTGAACAGAACACTAGTTCTCAGCTTTTTTTTTTTTTTTAACAGAAATGGACAGGGAAGGTATTTATCTTATCCTCTGACAATTCTGTGTGTCTGTGTCATTGTATCATCTGCTGGTTTATATCTGTTGTACATCTCTCCCTCAGTAGATTACAAAGCTGGTTTACAGAAATAGAAACCGTAGTAACAATGATTTGTCATTGAACAAATGAAGTTTCTTGTTTTCCTAATCACCATGTTAACATTTTCTTTTAGAAGCAGCATGATATAAGCTATAAATCTCATCCAGTGGAGGACCTTGGAACTGATAATCCTGCCTTCAACCATATTGAATTGAATTTCACAGATCAGAGGGGCAAGGTCAATGGGACTCGCTTGTGAAACACCTCCAAAGCAAGATGATTTTAAATGATGCCTCGATTCTATGTTTTCTAGGATATTTAGATCAGATTTAGATCTATCTGTCTTTCTTTTGTCTGTCATGTTATGGGGCAATACATTTTTGTTAAAGAGAAGTCCTAACTTTCTTCTCTTTCCATACTGATTCATTGATGCTACTCTGGAGTCAAGAGTTTCAGCATCAGCATTTCTCACTTTTATTTCAATGAAGATACGGTTGTGAAAGTTATGACTACATATAGGCTGGAAGGCTAATACACACATGTACCTGTGATACTTGTTGGCCAAAGGCATGTTTTTTGGGCATTATTGGGCAATATTTTCCGTGCCTTTAGTGCTAGCATGTAAGCTTTGTATTCACCAAAGTCGTAATTAATATTGAAAAGAACTATTCTCCCTTCTACCACTCTATTTGTAGAGAGCAATGAAGTGATAAATCTGTCTTGTCTAAATCTTTGCTTTTTATCCTGGTTCAGCCCAGAGCTCATAGTAGCTTTGGAACTGATTTTGGCTCAGGAAGGTGATCAAGAAGTGACCTGTCTGGGACAGAACAGGGACCCAGTGATCAAGGTCTTCTTGCATCTATTCTTGTGCCTTTGGGTTTCTTTCTGAGATTCTTGGCCATTGGCTACTTCTCTCTATTGCTTTTCTTAAACTATAGCTCTTGGATTCTGAACCTCTGACTGTGATTTTGTTGGTGGCGTCACTGGTGCCTGCCTTCCTGGATTCCTGTTGGGTCTATTGCCCTGGGCTTGGATTATCTTGAGACACCTAACATGAATTATGCCACCCCAGCCCGCAGTTCACAAAGTCCTAGCCTATAAATTATAAACTCCCATGAGCCTGGTACTGACTAAAGTACATTTGACATAGGTACTTTGGGATTTGATAATCTGAGAATGTTATATTTTTAAAAATGATTAAATTATGTGGAGTTAGATAATTACACTTCAGGCTATTAAGTTTTGAATTTTTGACTATCAACTAATTTGCAGTCAATTAAATTGATCGAAGGCACATATGCTTAGAAATCTCAAAATTCTAGTATATAGTTAAAAAGCTAAATTATAGATAACTATGACTATATTTCTAAGCTACGAATCTCATCCATCCAGTTCTAGACTTACTAAGTATGTCGTTTGCTTTATGTTTTAAAATTTCAAGTAGAGGTCTTAAAGTTGCTTAGCTGTTTATTTTGCTATGTCTGGTTACATGATTTCATCAATAACTTATTTTTTCTACATTACCCATATCAGATACTGTTTAAAAGTTTAATTTTTTTCAATTTTTTTTACAAAAAATGAGAGAAATATTTAGATACATACAAATGTTTTTTAATTCAATAATTTCATGATTATTTTCTGATCTATCTTGTTTAGGAAGCCATGCCCTGTAAATTTAGGGTTGCTAGCTGACATTAAAATATGTGTAAAATAGGAAGTAGCATTTATCTAAAGCAAAAGAGGTTCATATCACATTTAAATTAACTATACATTCATAAATCTCTTATGTATTTAGATACTCTTTTTTAATTCCTATATTTGAAAGCTAACTTCAAGCTTTGTGAATCTATAATGTTTTAAGGAGTAAGAAGACATAATCTTGTTTGTTTCATGCAACTTTGATGGTTATTTAAGAATTTTAAATGCATATGTATGCAGAGTGCTTCAGTTTTGGAAATCAAAATCGGATTATATAAGTAACTTTTTCTTTTCTCTGACTGTGCAGGGGTTATGCAATATATTCTTAATAAGAAATATAATATGTCCATTCTTGTCCACTTTCCTTATGGCAAAATATATCTTGTGATATTTGGAACTTTCACTTTTACTTGCACAAACACATAAGAGTGCCAGATAAAATTCTGAAGACAATAAAGTGATATTATGAATTTAAAATAATTTATCTTAATTTCTAAATTTTAGAATAGAACCAAAAAGGGGGAAATGTTAATATATTGTAATATAAAGTAAGTAGTGTTTTACTCTTAGTTATTTTGAGTCACAACCTTAATGGGAGGAAAAGCCACATGGGTTGTTTGTCAATATATGTTGCTGTTGTCAAGTTGCATATCTTTGAATTTATACTTCACCCCATCAAATGATGGTACATAGCATTAAACTTCTGCCTACCTCACAGAAATAATGTGAGTGTAAAAGATCTGCTGGATCTCTTTGGCAGAATAGCACTTTTATTAATTCAAATAGTTACTTAATATTTTAATATTTGGGGGCATGAAATTTGAGACTAGAGTCATTTGCCAGTTTTTTTTTAAATTGCATTGCTAATAATTTGCATTATCATGATGTAGACACAGGGCCTTCTTTAAAAAAAATGTGTACCAGAGGAATATTAAAATATATTTAGGAATCAGCAGGATTATTCCAATAGATAGAACAATGTAGATAAGTCCTATTCACTCTGTAGAGAAATGGAAATTATACAGGGTAAAATGTGAAACAGCATAAATTCATATTCATCTGTTTAGTTGCTTATGCAATCATTTTCTTTCTGTGCCAGTAGCTCTCAACCAGGGCCATTTGAAAATATCTGGAGACATTTTTTTTTGTTGGCCACATGGAGGAAGAGATGCCACTGGTATCTAGTAGGTGGAATTCAGGGATATTGTAAGCATCCTAGGAACTAGGGTGGCTTCTCTCCCTTCAAACAAAACTCTCTGAGCCAAAGATGTCCATAGTGTGTGGTTTGAGAAACCTCACCATGGAGGCTGACATTGGCTTTTCTGAAGTCCCAGCCTGGTTGTGCTGCTTCAGGAATGTGGCCTGACATTTCTATCTGAACATTCTCCTCCACAGGTAAAGTTGAAAATACCACTAGCATGTGGAACGTTATAATGCAGAATAACGACCTCATATTTTCACAGCATTTAAAAAATTTTAAGGACTATAGTATTGTGAATAGCTATTTAAACCAGTCATATAACAGTTTAGCGCCTCTCCATGGTTTCTCAAATTTTGACAAGCATCAAGATGAAGGAAATATTGAATGTATGAATAAAAGAATTTCATTATTTTATTTTATTTATGAAAACTACAGAAAACATAGTTTGTTCCTTTTCTTAAAAAAACTGAGTATATTCATGATATAGATACATGGGATAGGGTGGGGTTGAGATGGGTTGAGTAACTCTGAATTGTTATGGGAAATTCTGAGTTTTCCCGAAAGATTATTGATAAAGAACCAATTGAGAGTCTGGGGCTGTAACTCAGAGGTATAGGGCATGACCAGCATACATGACACCCTGGGTTTGATCCCCAGCAAAAAGAAAAATGTCAACTAAGTGCATTATCATTTAGTTACTGAAAATTCATGATATGCTGTTAGATTTTATACCCATTGCTTATGACAACCTTGAGATAGTTGAATATTACACTGTATAACAGTTGAAAATCTGATTTTTCAATTTGCTTTTTGAACTCTGCCAGATTGAATATAATTAATCTTATCAGCCTTTACAAAAAGATTTTTTTCTACTCTATTTATCACAAAAGGGCTTTTCCTAAATGCTGTATATAAATTATAAAAGTGTAAGCAAATAAACATGGAGGACTTTTGTCATTAAAGAATATTTTATATTTTAAATAATGCTGTATTTGAAAATAAAAGTGCTGTTGGTTTGGGTATTCTTCAGAGAGGTCCATGATTGAAATTTTAATCTGCAGGGTGACCCTATTGGAAAGTAGTATGATATTTGGGAAGTGGGTCTTAGTGGTGATCCTTAGGTCATTGAGGATAGCCCTCAAAAGGGATAGTTAGATGCCACCTTTTACTGTCCTCTCATTCAAAATGTGACCATTTGCTCCTACATGTACTCCCCCTATGATATACTACCCTCACCAGAGGCCAAACTAATGGGACTACCCAAACTTGAACTTGACCCACCAAATCCAAACTGAGCTAGCTAACTCTTTTTATAAAGTTAATTACCTTGGGTATTTCAGGGTGATAATATGAAGCAGACTGATACAAGAAAGTACATGATAAAGCATTAAAATAGTAACTTTTTTTTTTCTGTTCCCATTCAGATTTTTAATTGGGGATAATTTAAAAATGGATCCAAATAATTGATGATGATATCAGGACTTTGCACTAGAAACCGAAACTCTTAATCTGAACATTTTTCTTCCTCTTGAAAAAAAATATTAACTTGAAGTTTCAAATTTACATTCTTTTAATCTCAAGATAAAATTTGTTTGTGGGGTATAAAATCAAAAGGAGAGCTAAGCTAATGATTCAGGTACCAAAGATGACCATGTTTCTTTCCAATCACCCAATTTGGAGAAGTATAATAAAAGAAGCAGTTGCCACATTTCCTCTTTGGCAAGAAATGTTCACTTCTCTGATTTGCCTATTGTTCATATAATTAAAAGTATGTATGAACTTGTAATAATCCCACCATTATGTAAAATTATAATGCACCAATAAAATAAAAAAATTAAAAAGACGAACTCAAAGTACCCATTTATTTCTTACCTATTGTATTCTTGATAGAGCAAAATGCAAATTTCCATATGGAGGGAGTTCTACATGACATTTCACTGTAAAGGTCAGATCTCTATAATTCAAATTTATCAAAGAACAGAATGAATATTTTGGAAACTGCCTCAAACTTTCCTACTCATTCCCATTTGTAATCACTTATTTTTATTCATTTCCTCATTGTAAAGGCTATCTTACTAAACTCTTACCCTTGTTAACGCCAAATCACCACCGGGCATTGGATTTTGTATCAGCTACAATTTACTGCTGGAGCTCCACATCCATTTCTGTATGTTAGTATCAGGATTCAGAGTTCTCCTCATTCAGTTCTACTTTCCTTGGCTCTCTAATTCAGGGGCCTTATTCTCTTCTGGACAATGATATGGTCTGACACTATTTTTTTCTCATTATATTCTAGAATTTCTCAAACTTTCGTGTACATCAGAATTACCTGGAGGAATTGGTTAAAACACAGATTTCTG